GGGGGGGGAGGAATCTGCTGCAATTTTTGGAGAAGAAAAGGTTCTGAAATAAGTTTTCCTTCCCAATTATTACTCCGAGAGAGGCTGGAGTTCAGAACATACGCACTGCAATTAACTGGTATGCCCTCGGTCAGACCGCTGTGCTCTTCCCTTCTCAAGGCAGCTGTACCTTCCTGCAAGCGCTTTGTCTGCGAGGGAGAGCTGCTCCGCAACAGCCAAGCGTCATCTCCACGGAGCCGCTCGCCCTGGAGAAGGCTGGCCAGCTTTGGTAAGAGGATCACCTGAGAGCTGGAAAAACCCCAGCAGAACTTTCATTGATTGACCTCATATCCTCCCTGCAACTTTGAAAGCGGTTAATTGCCCAGCCCAGAAAAGCCTCATGCTTGCCGGCTTCAGAGGAAGAGTCAGCTTTGAGTCTCTCCCAAACAGGTTGGTTTGACCCGAATGCTTTAAACAGAGGAAGCTGAAATAAATAAATACATAGCTTGTGAGCTGCTGAGAGTATGAAAAAGAATTTCTTTAAAGATGAATCTTTCTCTGTCCAACGTGTTATGAAGAGACATAAGGGAGACTTTTTCTTTTTCTTTCCCACTGATAAGGTTTTCTGGCGATGAACTGTACAACCTGGCCTAGCAAATTTCCTGCCATAACAAGCTGCATGATAAGTAAATAGTGGCTGACTAACAAGGCGGTTCAATATTTACACAATCTTTTCATTTCGAAGTAGACGGCAGATTATTAGAAAAGGTGAAATCTCTTCAGATAAACTCGTAAGATTTTCCACTGAACAGCTTAATGTCTTTCCCCAGAAATGGGAGTGACAATCCCAAGCATACAGGAATGCTCAGATCTCGCAGCCCACAAAACTGCCGGCACAGAGCACAGTTCACAGCCCCGTGTAGCGGGGAAAGAGCAGATGCACGGGATCAATGGCAAAGCAAAGCAACCTACAACGAGCGGCTCTTTTCAATGCTGACTACCTGCAGCAGGCATGCTGCTGCTTGTCTGCTTGCTTTTTTTTGGACTCTTCCAGATAATGCAGCTGCCTAGCGCTGATAACATTTATTTATGTGAGAAGGCGAACCCACGTATTCGGAAGCTACCATTCTTGTGTGCACTGAAAGTTCCTGTGAACAAAAGGTTATGATTACAGCCTATCTTCCTCCTCCTCCTCCTCGACAGAAACTAGAAATAACAAGCATGCAGACAGGGGGAAACCACAGCAAACCTTTTTGCCCAGAGTGTGTAGAGGAGCCTTAACACCAAACCCGAGAGCTTTCATTCTGCTTTTGAAAACAAACAAAAGAACCAGAAAGTGAGACCACAAGGCTTTGGAGAAGACGCTGAGAAAAGATGACCATGTCAAAGGAGAGTGGAGATGCTCATTCACCAACAATCCGGGCATTCTTCAGAGGAGGGCAGAAGAAATGACAGCTGAGAAAATTTTCCAATGTAAAGAACTTTTAAAAAATAATAATAAAAAAGTTTTGACCGTGCAACCTAAAGATTTTGGCAAAAACCAGCACTTACAGTAAGGTGTTCATACAACCAAGCAGAAAACTCTTACAGTGATCTTGATTGGAGCAATCTAAAATATAATCAGTACAGAACAATTTCTTTCAATAAGGTAACAATGTAGCAGCTTGTTCTTATTGCCACTTTCACTCCTGTTTGAAAACATCCCTTTCAGCCATCTTACATGCTTCTTAAATACTACATCATATACTTATTCCAAGTTCGCACTTAGCAAGGCTGACCAAGCGTGGGCAAACAGCCTATGGCACACAGCAGTTGTAAGAAAATTTTTCAGCTTGTGCTCTTCATTCTCCTTCCCATACCTTTACTTCCCAGCATCCCTTCTGAAGCGCTCCTTTACTTTCATCGTGTTTTAAGCAGGGCATCTTCCTTCCTTCCCCAGCTACCAGGTAGCTGTGCGTATGAAATAATTATTCTGAGATCTGTGCTGTACAGCAGTGTACTGCTAGAGCCACATCAAAAGCAAAAATCTCCTATTCTTTAAAACAACCCAGCCCTTCCTCAGTACTGGGCCTGAAAGCCTGTGACAACTACTGGGGTCAAAAGAAGCTGCTTTTTCTGTTGTCAGCACTGCAAGGCACAAACGCATAGTTTTTTTGTCCTCTACACGTGTTTTCTCTTCCCTTCACACACTGACTCCTCTTACCTTGTTACTAGGGAAGCAAGTGCAATTCTGCCAATTCCAGCATGCCAGAATTGAGATGACTTAACACTAGATCCTCCATTAAAACCAGAGCTCAGGCAAGAACAGACTCTGTCCACCTGAACAGTATGCCAGGTCATGGCAGCTGGCAGCCAGAGCTACGCTTTTGCTCAGGTTCTGATTGCCAGCCTTGGAATCCCGGTGTCCTCACATGTAGGGATATTTCTCTGAAGCTCTCCCTTATGTACACAACTCTGTTGAATCCATCTACCCACCTGCAGTTTTAAATATTTGCAGCACAATGGTGGAAAACCAACCCTGGTCTCCAATACCAACCTATTTTGAGCTTTGGGCTCAGACTTTACCAAGCGTTGCTGTTAACATGCATCAGTTACATTATCCATCCTTCCGCTATTTTCTCTTTGACCTACTGCCTCCCAAAAGAAAGCACGTGGGGGAAGGGGAGGGCACAGTCAAGATAATTCCACACACTCTCAGCCATGTTCTTAATAATACTACTACTAATAACAACAACAATAATGATGAGTCTCTGTGTGTTAAGCTCACAGAAAGGCATGTTTCAATGCCTGATTTTTCATAGCTCTTGGTTAGAGTGACGCCTACAGCATAATACCTTCCTCTTGCCAAACAATCACATTTTAGTATAGTGATGATACAGTGTTATTCAGTTCTTTTCTTAAAAAAAAAAACCCTCAACATTGAATGTCACCATGGGAACAGTCTAAAGTTGACTTTGGAAAGAGGCTCATTTCCTATAGCTTTTCTGTTGGCATAAAAATAATGTCACTGAACTGTACCAGAAGCAAGTGCTTTATGAAGTACCATCTCTAAAGATACCAGTCAGTTCTGAAAATACCCTCCCTAATGGTTGCATTTCTTTAGTTTCTGAAGCAGAATAAAAGGCCCAGAAAGGTTTCTTCCCTGTTTTCCTCAACAAGAAACACACCCCAGGCTACCACCAGTGTGATCTAATTCAAACATTCTTCAACCTGTAATGTGTAGTAAGTGTCAGTATGGAAAAATTCCTTCTTAGAGGAACAATTAAAACTTAAAGCAGTCATCCTGTTGGCTGGCTGAACAAACGACACATGTTCACACAAGAATAATTCAGTCAACCGTCTTAATAAGGATTTACTTTAAACAGAACCTTGTATGGGTACACTAGACTCAGTCTCATTAAGGAGTAAGTTGGATTTTTATACAGCATGAACCATTGGCAATCTAAAACAGACCCACTGAAGAATGGAATGGAGAATCAAACGCAATGTTTCAGACCCAAGCTCTATGTGCCTTTAATACTTTCTTTTCCTTTTTTTTTTTTTTGAGAGAGTGCACACTACGACAGACATTTGCATTTATCATGTTTTTAACTTCTTTTCTAAGGATGAACTCTCTGAATCTGCATCTTCCAACTCCGCTCTGTGTCTTTTCAGTCCTCCGAGAGACTGAGTGCTCTCATTGCCCGTAGGATGCAAGTCGGCAGTATCCTCTCTTGTGCTCACACTGTAGCTGTTGGAGTCCATTTCAGACAGGCAGCAGTCTTTGTGCAAGGTCACACCCATCTGTACAAGGTTACCATTATCAGCATTTGAGTGCACCTGTAGTCCTTGCGTCAGAGTCTCCTGCTCTCCAAAACTCTGTCCGTTGTTGAGGCATGAAGGGCGAAGATGCAAGTGGCCGTTGTTGTGGTTAACACAGGAGGTGTCGAGGCTCCTCTCCTCACTGTCATCAGTCTGGTTTCTGGAGCAGTGACCTGACATGCTACAGATGGCAACAGTGGAGAACGGAGGGACCAGTGAGTGATGGCTTGATGCTGGTTGGCAGTTCTGACTATTTTTTTGTTCCACAAGTCCTGCAGTCTGAATGCAAGGTTCTTCAGTACAACTATTTAGCCCTTTGCAGTTAGCTTTTCCATTGAGCTTTTTAGTCTCAAAAGAATGCTCTATACCTCCACTGCTAGTGTCTTCAGATGTGTTTTCTTGACCCTCCATCCGCCGCTGATTGTCACATTCATGAGCTTGACCATTAGCAGAACTTTCTATCAAGCCACATTCTTTTAAAGTTTCTCTGTTGTGGCTGTCAGCAGAAAGAGCTGGGGAACCTTGAGGAACTACTGAACTCAAGTTCCTACCATCTTCCTTATTTAGCGAGCGTGCCGTACTGTGCCTTCCACTAGTTCCTGGTTTCCCTTCATCATTCTCTCCATCTCCTTTGGAGGATTCACCATCTTTACCAGCTGAATATGATATGTAAGAATAATGAAGCCATTTGTAAGCTTTGTAAATCTTCCTCTCCACTGATTCACTGTCTGAACAAGGAGACGTCCTTTCTTTGAGAACTTCTTTGTTGGCTGAACTCCTTTCTGGCGAAGAAGCTGGAGAAGAAGAAAGATCATCTACTTTGATCTGGGGGTAATCATAGATGTCCTCACCTATGTAAGGGGTCACATTCTCCGTGTTGGTGCTAGTCCTTTCCTCCTTTTGCACCTTCTGTCGGCGCCTCAGTGCATTGCGTTGCCTCATAGATGTGCGTCGTTCGTTCAGTTCCTCTTCATCTTCTGTACTGCTGCTGCTGCTGGAACTGCTGGATTCGTTCTCCTCAGGACTCGGGGACCGTGGCCGTGGGAAAAGGTCTGTATCTAGTTCTGCCTCGCAGGTATTGTCATCAGAGTCAGACTCATTGGAAAGGGCCAGGAGACGTTTATCCTGATATTTTCTCAGTGCAGAGAGCCTCTGCTGACGGGAAGCCATGTCTTCTCTGGCTGAGGGGGATTCAGTTGATCTTAAGGCCCTTAAGTTATAGGCAGTTTCATCAGACTCTTCAGCCGCATGTGGTGGGGAGTGATGCAAAGAGGCAGAGGACTCTGACTCGCTGTAAGCAGAGCGTTCGCTTACTCCTGCATGGAGCTGCAGGATTGTGCTCTCACTGAGGTCGCTGTCTGAGTCAGAACTCCAGCCCTCAATCTCCCGGCGCACCAGGGAGTCAAAAAAGGCCATCATCCGTGGATCTTCCTGGACTGACTGGTTGGCATAATCATGGGACAAACCGCTACCACTGTTCAACACAAGACTGATGTACTCTTCATGAGTGTAGAGGCAACGTGAATCATCCTCAATCCTACCATCCAGATCCCCTGTGCAGTCAGGCTGCTTGTAAGGACTCCAGATCTGTAATAGAAAATAAAAAAAAAATGTGTATCTTTGAATTCATAAACTATTATAAGCATTCCATATAGAACAGTAGCGCAAATACCCAGAAAGAACTGCGAGTTGCAGACTGTTTTTATTAATTTTTACCCCTCAGACCCATACTTAAGTATTCTAGAGGTGCGGGGTTTCTCACTCCCTCTTTACAAATGTATTTTTTCTGCATCTACTTCACCCATCCAGAACTTAAAAGCTCTCATACTGCAGATTATCCATAATTTCAATGTTTCATTGGGTAATAACTTCTCCCAAATTGCAGGGCTCTATTTTTATGCAATAGGGGATGCTTACTCACTAACGGTAAGAATAGTTTGTTGCCTACAATACAGTCTTAGCACTAATGAAGGCACTTGTTTCCCAGGAAACTGGAGTTGCTTGTGCCAGTGATGTAGAGTAACATTTCATCCAGCTGCATAGCCAGTCACACCTGATCAGCGGGCAGGGAGCTAAATGTATGGAGGTGAAAAGCAGAGCGCACTACTCCCTTTAGGGAACAGTCGTGAAGGAAAGAAAGCATCCAATATTTCTCAAGACACAGTAGTAGTTTTGGTTAGTGGGGAAAGGTGAAGGAGAAGAGTTTTACTGAAAGCTATTTTTGAAGTGGAGAGAGGTAGTAACATTGCAAAGCGTAATGATTTCACAGATAGCAACAGCCTCGACTGTGCTGTCCATCTAGCCTTCCCTCAGTTTTCCTGGTGTGGAGATGGGGAAAAAAGAAAAAGGCCCCAAAGAAGATCCACCAATAGCCCTAAGAAACCGGTAATCCATAGCAAACGTAACAGATCTCCTCACCTCTCTGTTTTACTCACGGATTTGAGGGTAATATGATTAAGGCACTCATTGGACAACCACTATCACTTTATTCTAGATCGATGGTTAACATGATGCACAACACTTAAGGGTAAGCAGAGCTAGGATGTAGTTTATCCACAATTCTGCCTTAATGTTTTGCTTATATCTGATTTCAGTCATGCTTTGGTTTTACCATGCTAACAAGCTCAGGGAAAAAAATTCTAGTGCCAGCTGTCTACACCAGGTTGGCCTTTTGGGATAGACTTTGGCAAAAACATCTCTTTTCCCAACAGAAATTAGTCAACTTTTGTTCCAAGTAGACAAAACCGCTAACAAAAAGTGTTTTGCCTGTGCAAATGGGATAATCAGCACTCATCTCACAGATGCGTAGTTAACACATGCAACATAATCTGATACTACTGTGACAAGCACTATAAAAAAAGCCCAAGAGAATGCTAGTAATTCTGTATTCACAGACATTTTCAACAGTGTACACTAAGACTTCTACACCTTTAATATTGGAAGTAAAATGAAATAAATTATCTTGCAGCTACTTGTTCAGCAAAGCCAAATTTAAGATGTACAGGTAATCTTTATTCTGGAATTCTCCCAAACTTGAATGCCTTTGCTTTGCATCTTGTGTAATTTATGGTTAACAGAGCTTCCACTTACGATCTGGCTATGTAGATAAAAGAGACACTATTCCAAAATTAAAGTGGGCTGCAGATATACCTTTTCTGTATGGCAATCATCAAGCTGCCTTTCAGAGCAAAGGCGAAGGAATTTTACATTGCATTACATTCGCCTGTTCCTAGGAACATGCCTCAGTATCAAGCTGTATTTGCTATTTGTACTTAATTGCTATTTTTATTATTTGCAGTACTTAAGCAAATTCTCTTCCAGTACAGCTCATTAATGTAATGCTTGAGACCAGAATGAAGAGAGTCTCCACTGCTTGGTTCAAACACTGCACTTATTAGACACATAGCTCAAGGGAAAAGCATCAGGTTTGGATAAAGATAACAAACCCCAATCTAAGTTCGTTATGTATAGACTTCCATCAACCATACTTAACCTTTTTGAATTATTCAAGAGAACAGAAAGAATCTCTCTTCATCCTCTAATTACTTCCCATGCTCCACTTCCTGAAGACAGCATAGGAAAGTCTTCTCTCAGTGGGTGCATGAGATTGTTGATTTGGGGACACACCAAGATTTTTTAATAGAAAAATAGAACTCTGCTTGCTCAAAGAACTATTCTGAGTTGCTGCCTTCTTGATGATTTAACTTGCAGATGTTCAGTACCTTCTCCCAATTTATCAGATCTTTTCCCCTCTCCATCCCACTACTGCAGACTTCGGCAAGTAGATCAGATCTTTTTGTATTTAAGCATGTACCTTCTTGTAAACGTTTCATACTGTACTCCTGGAGAAGCAGGCTGGCAAGCCCCTTACTCAAACAGTTTTAGCAGTGTTAGATTGATCACTAGGGTTTTATAAAACTTCTTTTTTAAGCAAGAGAATTAGAAAACTCTTAGATTGTCTATGAACCAATATAAATGGAGGAGAGGTAGTCTGCTCTGAAGTCCCTCTGAGACAGGTCTGTTTTTTAATGAAAAGTCATCTAAAAAAGGTACATAAAGTGTGCACAAAGAGATTCCACATCCTTGTTAGTGCTACCAGATCTTTCTGCTCACTCTGCAAGCATCAGAGAAAACATAGTAGTGTTAAATACTGTAGATAGCTACAAAGAGTCCATAATGAGGCTTTTCCCTTCCAAGACAGATTTGTTCACAGAGAAGTAGTAAATAATAAAGAGAAGTCAAGGGAATTCAGGATGAATACCTGTTTGCACAGGATCAGATGTCTCTGGAGAGTCATATTCCTACTTTTTAGACATTTGCTATGAGGGAGTGTGAGGGCCTGCCAGAGTGCCAGAAAGAAATCAAACCAAGAATCTATCCTTGGCAGAACTGGGAAATCTTTAAACTGGCAGCAACTGGTCCAGTGCTCCCTGTGGCATCTGAAATGGGCCTCTTTGTAAATGGAATGCCTTTGTCTTTTTCCCATCCTCTGACTGATGCTGTGTTGAGGAAGAATGTGAGCAAATTGGAGAAAGTAAGTTGGCAAATCATCCCACTGAAGCAACCATCTATCAAGAAGTTCTTTCTCTGTCAGAGGATTAAGGAGCTGAATATTACTCACTGATGCCCCAAGTATGGATATAAAAATAGGAACAATAACAGAAAAGGGGAGTACAAAACTGGTTCTCTACTTCAGCAGCAATGCTTCAGAGAGCATCTTTGAATTGCTTATATTTCATGGTGGCAAACCTCCAAATTTTAAAACAAAAAAGTAGTTATGCCCGTAGCGTGAGAATAATTAAAATCAGCTATATTAGACTATCTGATTAGGCAGAGGCAGCTAGCCACAATGACATTAATCTGTCACCATAGCAACATGAGCAAATAGACTTTGCTATCTTTGATATACTGATGATTTTTAAACAAATGGGACCTATAACAGTTGTGCTCAGTTACAGAGTATTCCATTTCCAATACAAACCAATATTTCTTTCTGAAAATATTTACCACTTTATCTATCTTTTCCGGAACTGGTTTCTAACTGCATAATTCTCTGTGGCTCTCCTCTAAGCCCCACACATCAGGGGGAATGCCTCATTCATTTCTCCTGCAATGCAATTCGTTTTCCTGCCAGCACCTCCCAATGTGTCACACATTTAACTGAGGGGAAAGTGGTATTTTTCTGTTTTATATTGCTTTAGCCCTTGTGGCGAATGCTTGCTGCAAATGATAATTTTAGTTCACAGCTATGCTTTTCCAAACAATTTTACTGAAGTTCAGGTTTCTGAAATGGATGGGACTGAACAATTCATCTGGGTTGATGCGTCCAGCACACACTGTCTGGAGTCAAGGCTTCTAGTATTCTTTATTAATGAGCTTGCTGAGTCTTATTTTAGGTTTCTGAAACCTCCTCACTTGAATATTCACACACCCCTCCCATCTTATCCATTGTATTCTCAGTCCTAGCAGAAAACAAACCCTACACTACTGAGTTACTGAATTATATTCTTGCAGGTGCTTTACAACAAAATAAAACTAAAGCAAAAAAACCCACATCACCACAAAGGTCAAAATCATTCTTGTGAATACTATTCATTTCAGCAGGGCTAGGCCTGAGATGAATTTGTATCTCATTTGCAATCAGCATTAAAAATAGCAAGTGTGTTGGCAGAAGTATGTGGAATTATTGAATGGCTTGTCTGTATCGTGCCTTGATGCTGGTGCTATCAGTTCCTCACTTCTAGAAGTACTATATTTAAGCCAGCTAGTCTAAAAATTAAGGGCTCAGACAAACAACTACTTGCATCCACATGTTTAATTCATCACAGAGTTTCTACAATTGAGGGAATGGAATACCAGCCAACCACAGCGAAGTTAGCTTCTATGATTTAATCCCAGAAAGATTTTCAGAAGACACCTGAAGGACAGTAAAAGGAAGGATGCTTCTTAAGGAACTGATTAAAACAAACAAACAAAACATAAAAAACCTAACTACAATTTTTACTTATGCCTCTCCCTCCTGTCGTCTCAACTTCTCTGAGCAAGCACATCAAGCATTTATATGGGGGAAAGATAGCCATGCAAGGGAAGGACTTGTGTTCCTAGCTGTTTTTAATGCAGTAAACAGCCCCTCAGAACCGCTGGTGGTGTTTTTCCTGTTTTGCCCTTCTGCTAGTGGCAGTCACTAGCCTCCAGCCACTCTGCAGAAGCAGCTAGACTGAAGAAGAAACCACCATTGTACGGTCACCCGGAAACCGCTGTTCACTAAGACAGTACCTTTAGAGTAAAGTCATGCAGATAGAAAAGATATGAGCCTTAAAACAACCTGATCCCCAAACAAGGCACATTACAAGCTGAGACAAAATGACATACAACAAGAGGATAAGAAGTTGTGGCTTGCTAATAAACTTAATACATTAAACACCTTTCCCTTAATTTGTTTCTAGCTTGCAATGTTTGGATAATTCAGTTCCTTCAAAGCAGCTACACGAGTTCCATTGCACATACTGCGACGCAATAGGCATTCTCTTCTAAGGAAGCATTCAAGCAGAGGTGTCTTTGAAAAAGTTACACAACCTGTGACTGGAGCCTTAATCGAACTAACCTTTTAATCACTAGGCAAAAAAACCACCCTGCCAAAACCCTAGCAGAAGTACACAAAAGCAACACAGGGGATGTTTATACCAATGCTAATCCAACAGTCTAAGCACACTCATGCAGGAAGGATTCATAGGGTGAAGGGTCAGCAGATCTAAAAACCAAAAGGAAGAATTCAGGCTGCGTGAATCATGTTCCCAAAGCAAGAAAAATGCCTCTGGCGAAACTGTTGTTATAACAGTGGCAGTTTGACTGCTTGCAAATTGAAAAATCGGTGAGCTGCTAAGACTGTTCAATGCACTTTTGTTCAAAGCCTATGTTGGGTAGATTTGTGATCAAATCTGTTAGAGGGACACAGATGAAGAAAAAAGTAGAAAAGCAAACTAAAGTACCAGTGAAAGATAGAAAAGAAGGAAAGCTGAACTACAATTAGAAGCCAAATGCGGATAGTAGCTGTAATGCAAGTGATGCAGCTGGGCATCGAGCCATGGTCACAGGGTTTTGGGCCAGTTCTGGTCTGCAAGTTGCATACCACTAAAACATTCCATTGTGGGACAAGTTCATTCAATCAACTTGTAGCTGACTAAAGCATTTATTAATACTCAAATGACCACATTTATAGCCACATGCAGGTAATACTTTTATGAAGTCATTCAACAAATAGTTAAAAGCAGCATCGGTTCTTATTATCCTACTTAAAAACTAGATTGTTCTGGTTTCTTTCATCTTGTTGATAGACCTAATTTATAGCAAAATTTCTATGGCAGCAGAATGCAAAGTGCACTACTGTAGCATAGTTCTCTGCCTCCCCACCCTCAATCTCTGCTATTAGAAATGACAAAAAAGTTTCTGCCTTGCTTCCATGACACTGGCTGTCTTTCCTTAAGGGAAGAAAGTTTCAGAACCTAACAAAGTTTGTGACCTCTTTATGTTCCACATAAAAAGGTGCAAACTTTCTAAAAATACTGTACATTATTAGAGGATTCAGAAAAGACATTTTGTGGAAGGTTATTAAGAGTTCCGTTTCCTCTGGAAGCCACAGAAAGGTATGTTGAAACAATTCAATGCAGAAGTGCATACAAAAATTATAGAAGGGCTCCTGAGGCAGTATTGGGGCCAAATTCAGCTAGGTCAGGCTAGGCTAAGGCTCAATGAATTTCAGACCAAAGTATCAGAAGTCTTTGGAGATCAGGTTACAGCTGTGACTAAACTCTCTGGAGAAGAACTGTTTGCGTGACACTTCAGTTATGCATGGAATGAAGCTGGAAAAAATCTCCTTTTTCAAGGTACAAATCCAGGAAATTTTGATCTTATATTTCTAAAACCTTTAAAATTGAGATGGAGTTTAAAGTTGAAATGCCCAGTTAAAAATCTGCATCACTTTAGCCAGCAAATAAGACACATCACTTTATAAAAGAGTAAGATGAGAAGACAGGATGGGCATGGAAAAGAATGATGCTGAGCAAAACAAAGCATTTCTTCCTGAAATATTGAAAGAAGACATTTTCTGATAATTAATCTTACCTTTATAATCTTTTCAACACCAGAAGAACAGATCATGTAAGTGTGAGGATTAAACCGGACTTGGTTTACAATTGACCGATGACCTTTCAATACCATAAAAGCACCATTGACGACCCTGCCAATGCCACCTAGGGGAAAAACGAGCACACACTGAAATGAATAGTTAAATCTTCATATTGCTTGCATTCATAATCATTTGAAGTTGTATTATATTTGACAATGCACTTCAGCTTTATTTTGCAATAGTGGAAGGCCTGTGTTGGCTGCAGAATTCCAATTTTATGAGCAATGCTCCTATGAAAAGCTGCAAGTTTGACAAAAAGCAACCTTCCTGCAAATTACGACTTGGAGGCTAGCTTTGATTCAACTATCTAAACAAACAATGAAGGTTTTTGACCTAATATGACAAGTATGTGAATAAGAACAACATACCTACTTAATGAAATCACCAGTGAAACCTACTAGGCATGACACTACTTACAGTTTGTAAATCTGACAAATACAGAGGTTGACTTTTTAAATAGCTACACTCCTTTTTAATTTATCTTTTAAATCAGTAATTCATTACTGTCACAGTTGACTAGTCTGATAGGTAGGAATCTAAAGGAGGTAATCTTCAAGGCTACTAACCTGAGTTACTACACTACAGTTGGACTTAGTATAGCCTTCCCCAGACTGGGATCTCTAACAACTTGTATTTCTGCGAATCAAGCTTAGAGAGGGACCTGAAATAAAACATCTGACCAGTGGGTTATATCATTCTTTGTCACAAGGTAGGGAATTAGCTAAGTGGAATGCTTTTGTGCTAATGGTAAAACTCAAAATAGAAGCCAGATAACTTTTCTGCTTGGCCGTTGACTGTTACTAGGTCTATACAGCAAAGCAACAAACCACCACACAGTAATTTTTCATATTCATAGATTCACACAATTAAAACCATACATGTGTTAGAAAGCACACCTGTGCATCTGAATAAATAAGTATCAATCAACATGTTATGATTAAGATCTTCAGTGAAAGAAACCAAAATTAGCTTCTGTGCTACTTATAGTTGTCTTAACACTGAGCAAGTAAACTTTATGTTCTTCTTGCTGAAGATGTTTACTATCCTCCTTTGATGTCAACAGGACCTCTTTCAGCTGAAATAGCTGCTAGTTTAAGCCCTAAGCCCAATGCTGAACAACTTTGTCTTCTAAAACAGAGTCAGAGTTCTCCTGCAATGCTCATTTCCTAAAGAAAAACTTGCATTAACACTGAAGAGTAGCAAGATGGAAGGTGATATAGGAATGCCTTTTTGTTTGGTGTTTTTTTTTTATTGACCCTTCTATTTGTTAGGTTACATAAATGACAATGAACTGCAGCTAGTGAGCTTATGTTCAGCCCCTCTCCTCTTAGAAAAAGTACCCTATCCCTTCTATTCATCATAACTACACTCTGAAGACCAGACTGATGTGAACGTGGTGTACAAACCATGATAAGGATTTAGAAATTAGGAGACATCTAACTCCTAAAAATCTGCAGACAGATCTCTGCTGCTTCTGGAAAGTGTTCTGTTTGCACAAATCTTTGCAGACCAAACTGCAGTCTCAGGGCACTTTGGGGTAGGAAGATAATGTGCCTGAAGAAGGGAAAAGAGATGGTGAGTAACTCCAAAGACCAAAACACATGGTCATTTTAAAGGCTTTGTACACAGAATGAAGTCTCATTTAAAATTAAGAAAACTTGAAACAGATACTATCACTCCAGTTAACTTCTAAATATGTTCATCGAAACCACACTGAGACTGAGCTAGCTGGAACACCTCTTTTATTCAGGTACACCTGTATTTTCTGTAAAGGTTCAGAGATAAGTTCTACCTTCAGCCATTGGAGCAAGATCTCCCCAGCGTAAGCAATACTGACTGAGAAGTAACTGACTGGAGAGCAAGTTCATTAAATGCCAAATTGGGGTCTTCTAATTTTCTTTTCCATTTTATGAGATTCGTCACGTCCTTTCATTCTGTTCAGCCTGCTAGACGCTCATGACCACATTTATGGCTGATGGCAAGTTGCCCTACTCCCACAGCATTCCTTCCAGCCAAATCACAGTTGTCAATCCAATTGCATCTATCACGCCAATGGTTACATGGTGGACCATGTACATCAAGTCCAGTTCTCAACACATTTATCTTGACCTAGCTGACAAATGTTCCAGGAAAGAGGGCCTCGAGAAAGAAGAGACAATTTGCTTAGGAAAGGTTTCCAAGTTTGTAAGTAATGCCTAAAACAAGTTTTAACTATCCAAAGACTCTAGCTGCCTGAATTCAGTACAAAACAAGAAACGTGCCCTACAAAACACAAGAGTCAGGAGTCAAAGAGACAACGAGCAAAGAAAGAATTACAATGGAGATGAAATACAAATTTAGGGCATCAATATCTTGGGCTGCATTTCCGAGTCAGTCATTGGCCTTTCGTGGTACTGCTAGCAGTGTGAATTAACTCATGGTTATTTTCCTAGTAAAACAGAGAAAATAGTTATTTAATGTCGTAACTGTCTTCTGGCATTAAATTTTAAATGTTTATCAATACACTAAGAGCACTGGATGAAAAGCGCACAGCATGCCATGTCTAGAACACAGCTCTCCCTAGGCTGTAGTTAAATTCAGGCAGTGTCTGAAGCCCAGAAAGTCAACTGTATCCTGGGCTGCATAAAAAGCAGCATGACCAGCGGGTTGAGGGAGGTGATTTCCCCCTCTATTCTGCTGTCATGAGACACCACCGCAAATACGGTGTCCAGCTCTGGGGTCCCCCAGCACAAGACAGACATGGACGTCCTAGACTGGGTCCAGAGGAGGGCCACAAAAATGATCAGAGGAATGCAACACCTCTCCTATGAGGACAGGCTGAGAGAGTTGGGGTTGTTCAGCCTGGAGAAAAGAAGGGGAGACTTTATTGCAGCCTTTCAATAAAGGCGGGCTTCTAAGAAAGACAGAAACTTTTTACCAAGCCCTGTAGTGACAGGAAAAGGGGCAACAGTTTTAAGCTGAGAGAACGTAGATTTATATTGGCTATAAGAGGAAACTTTTTACAATGAGGGTCGTGAGGCACCGGAACAGGTTGCCCAGAGA